GCAAATAAATAGAAAAAAATGTATGGGTCTTACATAACTTTTTACGTTAAATAACATGGGCTACTCCGTTTTTCGACATGCAAATCATATGCGTCCCATTTAGGTTGGTGAAGAGGATTTTCGGCCTGTAATTTTTTTATTTCAATTTTTTTACAATTTTCTCTACAGATTTATAAAATTTTAACAATTTTACGTAAAAAATATTAACTTTGTCCAAATCGATATTTCCAATGGTTTTCGAGTAAATTGAGTTTGAAAATTACTCTGCTCTTTAAGTTATTAGGCCAATAATTACAAAAATCTGTTTACCATGGCAAATAAAAGACTGACGTTGCCGCAACGCTTAACAATTTAAGTTATTGGTTATTGGTCAACTGTCAATTGAGCTTTGCAGTGTTTAATTAGTAAAAGTAGTGAGTGGAAAATTTAAGTATACAACATTATTACAACTCATAAAATGGAGTCGTATTCAAACACGGAAATGGCAGATATGCACTTTATGTACGGCCGTGCAGCTGGAAATGCATCAGAAGCGAGGCGTCTGTATGCGGCAGTATACCCGAATAGAAGACTTCCTTCTCGACAGGTATTTCAGAAGATCCATCAACGTTTAAGAGAAAATGGTTCGTTCCAACCAAATGATCGTGGCAGAGACAGATTTGTAAGAACACCGGTGATGGAAGAAAATGTATTGAAAGCTGTGCAGGACAATCCAAGGGTTAGTGTAAGAAGTGTCGCACGTATGCATAACATAAGTTTTTCCGTAGTTTGGCGAATTCTTTGCGAACAACTACCTACTTCATCATTTTCATATCCAGCGTGTTCAAGCTTTAAATCCGAATGACTACGAACCACGTCGGCAGTTCTGCCAATGGTTTTTGCGAAAATCGAGGTGGATTCCGAATTTTGCATCTCTTATTTTGTTTACGGATGAGGCAAGCTTCAGTAAAGATGGTTATGTCAATTTTCATAACGCTCATGAATGGGCTGAAAACCCCCACAGCATATTTCAGTCCAGACATCAGATTCGGTTTTCCTTCAACGTTTGGGCAGGCATTTTTGACGATCGGCTAATCGGACCGTTTGTGTTGCCTAATCGATTGAATGGTGAGGATTATTACAATTTTTTAGTTAACGACTTGCCAGGACTTTTGGAAGATGTCCCTTTAATTGAACGCTAAAGCATATGGTTTATGCAGGACGGGGCGCCACCTCATTACCTACATAATGTAAGACAACACTTAAATGGGTTGTATGTAGAAAAATTGATAGGTCGAGGAGGTCCTGTTCCCTGGCCTCCACGTTCCCCCGACCTTAACCCCCTGGACTATTTTTTGTGGGGTCAACTTAAGGCAAAGGTTTATAAAATTCCAATTGAGACCATTCAGCAACTACAGAGGAAATTGAAACCGCGTGCATGGAAATAAGGCAAACACCTAGAATTTTCCAAAGAGTTCGCAAATCATTGAAGCGTCGAGCTAGATTATGCATCGAAATGCAAGGTGGTCACTTCGAGCAGTTCTTGTAATTTAACTTATTATTACTAATTTTAATCCCATTATTTTCTATTTCACATTTAGCTATTGTCTGCAGTAGTAATTAGTTCTTTAATTAGTAACTGTAACTCTAAATTTAAATAGTCTTAGTTTATGTCTTAAATTATTTATTAAATGATCGGATCCTTCATAACTGCAATTTATTTAAATAATGTTACTGAATTTTCAAACTCAATTTACTCGAAAACCATTGGAAATATCGGTTTGGACAAAGATAATATTTTTTACGTAAAATTGTTAAGATTTTATAAATCTGTAGAGAAAATTGTAAAAAAATTGAAATAAAAAAAATTACGGGTCGAAAACCCCCTTCACCAACCTAAATGGGAGGCATATGATTTGCATATTTAACGTAAAAAGTTATGTAAGACCCGTAAATTTTTTTCTAGTTATTTTCGACCGTTTTGTCAATAACAGAAAAAAACCAATTTTGTTTGAGCCCTTTTAAGGGCATATAACTTCCTAAGGGTGCGTTTTAGGGCACATGTTAACAGGAACTTTTTGGCTTATTTTAATGAGTTATAAACGCAGCAGAAGTTTGGAACCCTATTTTAGAAACACCCTGTATAATGTATTCTGTGCATGATTCTCATTGCCATTTTAGTATTATAATAAATTATTTCAAGTTTAATTAAATTTTCTAAACTAACTTGTGAATTTTTTTGTTCCAGGTCCAATATCTAGCATATTATCCGTGAAATACTCATATAGGATAGTGACAGTACTAGGAGGTATATTCGCAGCGGCAGGGATGATTCTCAGTTTTTGGGCAAACTCAGTATATTACCTTTATTTCACTTACGGTGTATTAGTAGGATGTGGAGCAGGACTGTCTTTTCCACCGACTGTGTACATAGTGTGCAGTTATTTTGTCAGATTAAGAGGAGTGGCAAACGGAATCTGCATATCAGGATCAGCTTTCGGATCAATACTCATCCCGCCCCTGCTTCGATTACTATTGGTAACCTATGGTTACCGAGGAGCTGTGTTAATAATGGGTGGAATTACCCTGAATGTTTTCGTAGCTGCTCTATTTTACGACAAAGTAGAACTTCACATGAAGCGCGTGAAGGTCGAACCAGAACAAGAAGAAGAAATAGATCAATTCCAAGCGAAATTTATAATTAGTCAGGACAGTATGCCCTCACTCCATCATATTCCGCACAACGATTCTTTCCTAGAACACATTGAAAATTCCGAGGGAAATTTTAATAGAAGTGTTTCAAGCGCGACCGTTCAAAACCTAAAAAGTCAGTACAGGGAACGCAAAATTAGCATGCCTACTGGTAAAAATGAGGTGATGAAGGTCAAGGCTGGTCACGGGTCTAAGTATAACATGAGCAGCAATTCAACTCTGCACGCTGTACCAGAAAAAGAAAATGGTAATAACGCGATGGATATGTATTCCCATGGTAGGCTTCCAAATTCGCGGCGACGTACAGGAGTGCCTAAAAGGAGCACCTCCACAAGTTCTTTTCAATATGTTACCACTCCCTATCACGGAAGTACTTTGACTTTACAACCGGAGATCTTTGCTAGTTCTTTTAGTTTAAGGTCTTCCACTAAGACTCCCGAACATAAAGATGCTCCTAAAAAAACAAAACTATTTGATATTAGTCTGCTTAAAGATCCTCTATATTTAATCATATTAATTTCAAACGCCACCAACGCCATTAGCTATACGAATTTTATTATTTTACTTCCATCGTATGCCCAGTTTCTTGGCTTCAATAAGGACCAAGGAGCTTTGCTGTTATCAATTGTTTCTGCACTAGATTTAGTAGGAAGAATCGGCGGTTCAGCTCTGTCAGATTTAACATCATTCCCCAAATGTTTCTATTTTGTTGGTGGTCTGTTCATTTCTGGGATAACGCTTAGTTTAATGCCTCTATTTGGAGATTTTTGGGTTATCGCTGCATTTTGCTCCTTATTTGGTTTAGCTTCTGGTACATATGTTGGCATCACTGCAATTGTTATGGCAGATATGCTTGGGGAAGAACGTTTACAGTCGACATATGGAATGGGGTTATTTGTAAATGGTATTATACAACTCATTGGACCACCTTTATGTGGTATTTGGTACGAAATGACAAATTCGTTTATATCGTTATTTATAAGTTTGGGCATAATAATCATTGTAGGGTCCATGCTTTGGATTTTTGTTCCTTTTCTTAAAAGGGAACCCAATTCTAACGATGTAGAAGACGAATCGCCTTAGTTTTGTAATTCAAAAATGATGATTTAGTGTAGATAATTAGGCAAATGAAAATTTTAGATTTATTTCAATTAATTATTATTAGGAAATTAAATAGGATGGTTAAATTTAAACAGTGTAAAAAGTATGACTTCTTAGAAATATATATTTTCTGAGCAATTAAACGCCAAATACCAGATAATTATCTATTGTAGATAATGGATAGATTTAAATTATGAAACAAAATAATTTATATCTATACAAATAATTTAGTGTCCAAAGACATCCGAGTTTAATATTTTCTAAAGCACATTTGTAATAAACTTTTCATTAGAAATCCCAAAAAGTGTACATAAATTGTATTATATTTATGATAAGACACTCTTCTTATTACATCTCAAGGATGTATACAATTCTCTAATTAAAGAGATACTATCTATTTTAAAAACTAGCCATTTTAACTGAATTTATGTATACAAGTTGTTTTATAAATTGTCTGTTAGTATTGCGTTAATGTAAACTACTTGTCTTTTCTATTTGAATATTTTTCAAATGTGTTTTTAATTATAGTATTATTTAAGGATAGTAAAAGTCTATATTTTTACCTAAATCAAACCAATAAATGTACAAGTGTATTTAGTTCATTTGTGTTTAATAAAGCCACTAAATATTTTTTATTTATTTTCAAAGTATAGGTATTTATAATTAAGTACATTCCAAATTTCTACTCCAAATATGTACCTAAATATATATATTTTTAATACATTTTATATAAATATACATTACTTAAAATTCATTGTGATACACTTCTGTAAAAGGTAATTTAACATTATGTAATGTATAATAAATTTTTTAACTTTATTCATGACTTTCACTCAAATCACTAAAAAGCAGTGTCAGAACAGGCCATGTGGGAACCTGTGGGCTAAGTAGATTGGAACCAAATGGAAATAGCAGTAATGGTAATGTAGTACATAAAAATAAATGTTGCATTAATCATATACCAATTAAAACTTCCCACCTGGAAAATATTAGAATTAAAAAAAAGCAAAAAAACTGAGACACATCCATTTTCTTTTCAAAGGGGACATATGATGGCGTAAGTTTTGGTGTCTTGGAAGCTACCCCTTAGGCAGGGGCGTAAAATACCCTTAAATTTTTAATGGTACCCTATATTTTGGTTTGGATATGACAATAAAATCATCACTTAAAGAATAAGGCAAAATATCAATGAATGAAATGAATAAAAAATCATTACCTCAAGAATAAGACAAAAGATCAATAAATAAATGAAAGAATGTTATTTTATTAAGTGTTCAAATTAGTTTCCCTCCACTTCCATACAATAATAAAATCTTTACTCCACTTCCTCAGAAACATTTGAAACATTTCGGTTATTATCTGACGGCATTCTTCAACAATTTCTCGATAAAAAAAATTTGTGTTGATTTTTCGTTTATCTCTAAATAAAAAAACTCTCGTCTCGTCTTGTCTTGTCGAGACAATATCCCGTAAAATCATCATCGTGAAAATGGTTTATACAACTGCTGAAAAAGTTGAAATAATTAATTTGTTCTACAAGAATAATCACTGTGCACGGAACAGGCTGTATAAAATACTAAATACTGAATTTAGTAAAGTTTAAATTTCCTAAATCTAATAAGTAAAAAATGCCATTTCAGTTAAACCGAAACATAACCTAAACATTACAGACCTGTTTTTGTATGATAACCAGATCACGCGTGCCCAATTTTTGAATCATAAGGTTTTTTAGTTTAAGTACAAGGAACTAATTATATGTAACACGACACTGACAGAGAATCAAAATATAGGAAAAACTGATATAGATAGCAACGTTTTTGTTTTAAATTCGCGTAAAAATGCAAGCAATCGATTCCTGTAATAGATATTATCGAGAAATGAAAATCGAAAAAGATATTCAAGAAAAACTCGACCAAAAAATTTTTACTTTTTTCAGTCATCTGTGGACACCTGAAATGAATAAAATCGTTATCACTTTTTTACCATAAAAGTACAACTCTTACGGGAAAAAATGAGCCCTGATTCGTTTCTCTACGTCGAGCAAGAAGAGCCGATTTTCGAGATGACCTTTTTTTCGAAAAATCGATATAACTCGAAAAATTTTTAATATTTTTTAATTTAAAAGAAGATACTTTTTTGCTTGCCGAGGGTTACATTTACAGCAAGTAACAAGTTTCAAAATCTTAATTTGCAAGAGATACAGCAATAACAAAACAAAACATCGATTTTTGACGGTTTTTTCGATATATCTCGAAAAGTAATATAGCAATCATATATTTAAAAACATGAATCGATAGTTTTTTTTTAATATCTACTATTTTCTCATTTAACTTTTTTCTACTGGAGTTCAATTTTTTTTGTTTATTAGCGAAAAACCGTTTTTTGACTTTTATGAATTTTTTAGGTTAACTTCGCCGTTTATGAGTCACAGGAAAAATACACAACCTTTCTTATAATTTTTTTTCCTATATCACCATATTTTTTGTTTCCAGGTGGTATTTTTTGTAAGCTAGTCTACCTATTGATTAGACTATTATATCGAAATGCACATACGCCACATTGTTGGAAACGTTAATTCCAAATAAATACATAAATAAGTCCATCACGAGTTTTAAAATTATAATTAATTGTAAATTTTATTTACTTAGAAGCAAAGGGAATGCTTTATCCGAAAGAAAGATGCTGCATACAGGTTACCGCCTAAATGTCACCAATTTTTGGCAATACCTAATCGCATGTGTGATAAACGGTACATCCTCGATCACATTTAGTATTTATAACTATGTACCCTTCTAAAGAGCATATTTCTTATTTCTCTTATCTCCACATTAATCTTGTTACTATTTGCCTATAGACCTAATGCAAAATGTTAAAGACAAAGATTCACAAATAATTATATGAAACTGGAAATAATAATTTCCACTTTCTTTCTAACGAAGGATGGAGAAACAAACATTTTGACGTCACATTCAATTATTACTAATTATTTTGTTTACCGACCTTTCGATTTAAATCGAGGACATTGTTATTTGTTTGTTGAATACTATTTGTTTTTGGCTTTTTATTAGTAGACAAAATTTTGTTGCTCACACTTTAAATAAATATTATTCGAAAATTTTGTTATGTAAGATATTAAAATGCTGATGTTGATAAATTGACAATTAAACGATCTCTCAAATTGGCAATAAAAAATAATAATAATTTAAACCATTACTTATATAGGATTTGTCCGATCTATAAGAAAAACGACAAACATGATATTTGACAAACTTTGGTCAACTTTTTGAAACTTTCATATAATATATATTATGATTCAATCTACTTTCAATTTATATAACTCGATTTTATTGTAACTAACAATTTTTTTTTCACAATATATCACTGAAGTACCTACTTGATTCTGGTAGACAGGTTGATGTTATATACACAGATTTTTCTAAAGCATTAAATCAACCATAATATCTTCTTAAACAAATTAAGTACTTTTGGTTGCATATCTCCTTTAGCAGCAAAATTATTACTTCTTCTGTAGTGCCTCAAGGGTCTGTATTAGGACCATTGTTATTTAATATTGATATCAAAGATATTACGTCTAAATTCTGTTTTTAAAATTAAAAGGAACAATTTTTGAAAAAGGCAATTTGGCTCAATCGTCTTATTTTCACCCCAGGAATACCCCATCATCTTGTCGTCTGCTTTATGAAACACCCTGTATAATAAGTGTCAAATAGATACTTTATGTTATGTTTTATAGAAGATTAAATCCAAATTAATTGAAATTATTAAACAACATCTTCCGTCTTTCGCACATTATAAGAATGTGGCTGTTAAAATTTAAGTAGACCAAATTTATAAAATAGTTACCTACGCTATTTAACTTTATTACGTTATTTTCTGATTCATTTATTAAGTATATAGTAAAGCTGTAACTTGCACATTTTTATGCACTAAGTACTGTATTTATTACTATTGGTAAAATAAGATCGCATGCAATGGCCAAAGCGCAGGTGTATTTATTACTATTGGTAAAATAAGATCACATGCAATCGCCGAAGCGCAGGTGTGTTCTCTGACAAAGGCGATCGCGCCGTTATTGATGGCGTTGTTTATGGCCTAAATGATTTGGGACCGACGATGACTAGCCCTCTTCGTCCTGCCTCATCGCTGTAGACCTATAGTACGATCATATTCGATGCAAAGTAATAAATCATTGCCTGTCAAGGGAACCAATGAAGTACGCTTTTAAGGGTTTTACAATTTGAATAATTTCTTTATACATTATGAAGGGACGAGGGGATCAGTTCAGATCTGGCACCCTTGTTGCTACAAAAATTCCTTTATACTCATAAACTATTTATTTTAAATGTAATTTATTATAAATCCAATTTGTTTCCTAAATTTCACATATGTACTACATTTTACCTCTGTACGCGCCACTGTTGTTTACTTGTTTTTTGGAAGCGCTCTCTAATTGACAGCAAAGCTCGCCAGGTTAGTATTTGACGTATAACCGACCAGTTCGTACACTCGATGCACCTGGGCGACTACAGCTACTACCAGAACACAGTGCGTATGCAGCGGTATTTCAGATTTTACATTGAATTTCATTTTAAATTTGAAATGATTTATCTTACGCCTCCTAAAAATGATGACACGATTTTCCTTTGATAAAAGGCCGACAATTTTTTGCTCTACTTTGCATCGTAGACGATCCTACTATAAACAGCCTCGTGAAGGTGGGCTGCATCCGTCGTCGACCTCGACCACAATGTAGCTGATGTAAGCACTTTGTGGGATCTCCTCCTGTTCTGGCTAACCCCCGTCGGCAGGGGGCCTCTTCTTACGCTCTTCTCGCTTCTTTCTTCGCCGGCTTGTCTAACCCCCGGGGCTGTTTAGGAGTAGCGTTGAAGCTACGAATGCGCAGCTAGGGTGCGCTTCGGTGGGATGGGCTTTGCCATTGTCTATTCTTTTCTGTTTTTGGTCCTGGCTATTCCTGAAACTTAAAAGTGTTAGTGTCGATTTGGGTGGGTAATGGTGTTGGGGTGGTCTCTCCCGTCGAAAAGTTGGTGTCTAGGTTGTTTGTGTTTGTCTGTCGCGTTGGGTATCTGTAGTGATCGGCTTGCCTAAGGAGGGGATTGTCATGTTTCGCAACCGCGTCAAAGCGCTTTTCGGCGTTTATTCGTATTGTCTGGGTGGCGTTCGTGTATTGTATGTCCCGTAGAATGTTTCTTACGTACTCGAGCGAAGCGATGGTCGTGCGTAGGACTATGTTCTCCACATCCTGGAATGACTTTAAAAGGCGTAGGTTAGCTGCGGTTGAAATACCACTTTGATAAGCGTTCGCTTATTCCTTAGGCTGAGTGTGTTACTACCCTCGAATTACATGGAACGCCACCGTCTCCACGATGTGCGGTTTCCACATAAGTCGCTGGTCCATCATCACGCCCAGTTATTGCGTCTGTCGGCTTCAGGAGACGGGCTCCTGCGATAGTGTCAGTATGTCGAGATGGTGGGAATTCAGCGTTTTGTGAAGATTATCGCGGTGCTTTTGTTGGGGTTAATTTTGACTTTCCACCTGTTGCACTAGGTTCCAAGTTAGTCTAATGATTAGAATAGAATAGAATAGAATAGAATAGAATAGAATAGAATAGAATAGAATAGAATAGAATAGGATGGGATGGGATGGGATGGGATGGGATGGGATGGGATGGGATGGGATGGGATGGGATGGGATGGGATGGGATATAGGATAGGATAGGATAGGATAGGATAGGATAGGATAGGACAGGAGAGGACAGGAGAGGACAGGAGAGGACAGG